CTTATTGATTTTCTATCATTCAAGGTAAGAATTTGTATCACTTCATTATGAAAAAAGAATTCAATCTTTTTCTTAAACTTTCATAAGCTACTACTAAGTTTGTATATATCAAGGACATCAAAGTATCCAAGACCTACTTTGCATTAGAATACTGTAAGGTGATAAACTCTAGAAGGAGGACATTACAATGATTTGGAAAACCATTAAATAGAACTGGGCCAGCAGGTGGTGTGGTGGTTAAGGCACTGAATCCCACACGGCTGGCTCCATGGTTTGAGTCCCGGAATTGACAGCTTGAAAAATAGGCCAGGTGTGTGTGCGTGCCTAAAATTCTCAGAGAATGGAAAAGGACTGCATCATGCTCCTCCCACCCGCCAGTGACTCTTACTTTCTGCCTGTCTATCTCCAGAGAGAGCACACACCATACGACAAAAATAAACTTTGAACCATTAAAATAATTACCTAATCTTGAAAGGACTCAGGTTTATTTTTACATACCTCTCTAAACCTAGCTAAGGGGAATGCAAAGGAGAATAGAAAATATTTTTACATTGTGTTCATTTGGCTATTAGTTATTTTCCCCATCTTTTTAAAATAAGGAGAGTTCTGTTTTAGGTGATCCTGGAAGCCTAACATTAACAACTGTTAAATGTACAAGCATTAATTAATTTGGAATACCTATTGGAATCACTGGAACACATTTAGTTGGGCCCTTTTACTCTTCCACACAGCACATTCACATGGACAGACTAAGGAAAAGGAGATGAAATTTAAATCAGTACATTTTTGGCTTTATTACCTTTCAAAAAAAATAATAAATTGGAACCTGATATACTTAACCACAACTCTCCCTCCCTTAACTACAGGTAACTGGGAATAATAGGCTACCTCAAAAAATTACCCAGGTCAGTACTGTTCAAAAAAAAGCCCCATTTTTGTGAAGTATTAATTCTCTCATCTTCTTTACGTATGCTTTCATACATTTGAAGCATTTGTATCACATTTGTTAGATGTCTACACTAGCCATCCTTCGTTCTTGTTGACTTCAACTAAAATCTTTTTGGCTGATGCTAATCCATGACAATGCTTCGACAATGCTTCAGGTACTTGCCAGATATTTAACTGGATGAAACTGATTTTCTTTGTGAGATCATGAAATGGGACTGTTATAGGTAAAGCAGGGAAGAACATTCCACAGAACATGGTGTTTCTCAGATACTGTTAGCTCTCCGATCTGTCATCCCCACAACTTCCTGCAGTGTAGACTCAGGCTGGACATGCCCTGAGTAACCACACCCCTAGCATAGCACCTTTCAAGACATTTCTCTAGAAGACTAGCCCCAAACTATCCTAACCCTAACCCACATCACTTTCAACTAGTCGTTTCTCACTCTCAAGACTGTTTTATTTTCAAAGCAAAACCCCTTGGTTCTTTGTTAAGATGCAAGCATATACTAAATCCTGGCATGAAAAAAAAATTAAAATGTTCACAGGCAGTAATTAGAAACTACAAATTAAACAAATGGCTAAATCTGTTGTCCTAACAACTCACCTAACCAAGCAGTTATTACTCATGTTCTGGCACATCAGTTAACTTCCAACATTTACCAACACTGAGTTTCCAAGTACAAATGATTATGCAGTTAGTATGTTTTCTGAGTAATTCTAGGTCAACATTTTGAATATAATTCTCCAACTTATTTCCAACCTACCATCCCTTCCAGACTAATAGTTTCTGGCACAACTTACTAAACTTAGTCACCTTAATTGTTGGTAAACTGAATAGGATGTGATGTTAATGGAAGTGTGCTATCTTTTTTTAGCTATTTCCCACCTAAAGCACTCATATTCCAAGGTCCAGCTATACTCCAAGATTTTAATTGTGTGATGCCAAATAAAGTAGCATAGCAAAATATAGTAAAAACTATGTATTTCAGGTAGATTCCAACTATTCTATTTCACAAGCATACATAAATTTCAATTCTGGCAATGTTGTAGCTTTACAATGCTTTTTCTACCCCAACATTCAAGGGATACACACTACTTTCATTGATAGTGTAGGTGACGTCTATATTTTCAAGAGCTTATTTTAAAATTAGTAACAAGGAATAGTAAGACAAAGGTCATTCCAACGAGTTAACTGGACAAAGCGTTTTTATACTTATTTGTCGTACAGACATGTAACTGCAGTACCAGCAGTAGTTAAAACTGGGAACTAGTCGAGAGCAGCCTATGTAACTAAAAATTCAAACACTAAACTGGCTTGATCTACCTACCATCTCCATGTCTTGATGTAAAAGTTGAGGAATGACAGCAATTGCAAGAAAAAAATAAGCTAAAAATTGTAAGACTACACACAGAAGAGTACTACAGTTTAACTATTTTAGGTTAAGTTTAGGTAACTTAAGTCAACAAGACTTGCAGTTTCTATGACTAATAAGTTCAAATTACTGTTTGGGGATCTCAGGCAATGACAGATTCTTGCTCAGAGCACTAATGTTAACGATCACAATTTATGATTAGGTCTAAGTCCCACTGCACACGTATTACCACCTATTGCCCAGCTTAAACATATCCTTTATTGGCTGTTACTAGAATCACAGGATCTTAACCCAGTTCTCCAGAAACTTTGAACCCCTCAATCTCAGAGCCCCAGAATTATGGACCACAAAAAGTTTAGACTCAAAACATTTTAAGAATTTCAAGGAAGAATAACTTTAGATACAATATTGTGTTCATCCTCCCAGGGAAAACATCTCAATCGTTATTCCTGGAGATTTGAGGAGTAGGTAACTACTCTGCTACAAGCTCCATCCACTTTAAAAATCCAAAGCACTTTACTGTCAGGTGTAGGGGGGAAAATGGCAACTGTCTTAAAAGACATCCATTTATTATGTCCACTACTAGACACTAAGACTTGAGCTCAAAGGGACTGTTCACGCCTTTCTCACCAAGTTTATTCAGGTTACTTAAAAAAAAAAGTGTACTCTTCATAGGTTTACAATAAGGTCCTTATAGCTATCTATACTACTGCTAAATGTTTTAAAATACTTCATTTTAATATGTGTGATGTAATCAATTATAGACAAGCCAATTTGTGTTAATGTGCAAGTTTGTAGAAAAAGTCTGATTCCCACAGCTGAGGTAAATTTTAAATATGAAACATTTTGAGAGTATAAAATCCATAGGTAAGAAATACACTTAAAATAGTGTTACATTACATCTCCTAGAATAATTGTAGGTACTTTTAATAAGAAAATTCCTTAAAGCAGGTTTACTACCTTGTTGCTAGTGCTCAGGACATCTAGGGCTTAGTTAGATCTACCCTACTTCAATTGAGAGCATATCTCTGTTCATCATGTTGCTTGCTTTTGTCATTTCTGTATCTAATCGATTTGATTCAATTTCTATTTCCAGACTTCATTTTGCTGTTTGAATGTTACAGCCAGAAAACTGGTCATTGCTAGGTTAAGAGATGAGAGCTATAGCCTTCTGAAGACTAGATAAGCATGGTGTTAGTCCAACAGAAAAATCTCTCTTGTAGTTTGAGTTTAGATAACTTCATTTCTATCTTGTAGCACTGTAAGTTTGAGTTTTCTTTCCTTATTAAATTCTACACTGTGCTAACTGATCCGTCTAGTCCAATTTTTGACTAAGCATGTTATCTGTAAAACTTTCTAGTGAAAGCACCCCAATACCCACAGCAATCTCAGTTTTCTCTGGGTACAGTCAAAATTTGTTCAGAACTTAAGTCTTGTTTGTTCAGATTTTTTGCTTGGGAAGGGTAAACAATACACCATATTTCTCATTTATAGATCCTCCTAACTTACCTATTTTCCTCCTTTTTTGCTATTTAAAATAGCATTCCCTTTTCTGAATTTCTTAAATACTAAGATTTCTTCCATAAGTACATGCAATACTATTGATTCTAATCTTGGGATTGCTTCTTAAAATCTCAACATTCTTCTGAAGCATTTTTATCAATTCTTTCCTCCTTCTCAAATTATCTGGTTTATACAGGCACCAGTCTAACTAGTTATTTGAAAAGTACTTTCCTATGAAAACCACAAAATTTTAATTCCTTAATAAACAATTATCCAAGATTTTTTAAAGGCACAAATAAAAACTTTAGGTCACCTGAACATTCTCCCTGGGTAAGTATATACAATCCTAATGTACACACTGAAAAGCAGTTCATGCCAGTGGTTGCTAACTAAGATCATTCCTAAAACAAAACCCTGTAAGCTACTACCTTGCACAGTTAAGAATCCCTATAGTAATTTTAAGATCAGCCTTTGTTCCACAAATTTCAACTAAACTATACCACCACCTACATCTCTAATCTACAGCAAGAAAATGTCTTTGAATATAAATGAGTTATTTTTAAAAGTTAAAACAAAATCCTAAGCAGTCGCAAGTACAGCAAACCTCAACTTACCAGAAACAACCTAAAAACGCCAAAACACTAGACTGAAGTCAAATTTTAGTTCTACAGTTTGACTCCTGATTCCTCACTTCACATCTGTGAGGTTCCTTTAGAAGGTTAAGTGTTCTGTGCAAACCCAATAAAATTACAATTAGGGGATCTAATGTTATCACATAGCTACGGTTAAGTTAGCAGTGTTGTGTAGTAGTGAAATCAATGACTGGCTTGCATGATACGATGGCTTCTAAAAGCGTCTGTCCCCAGAGTTTCATGTATATTCATCGTATATATGTATATAAAGCAATCAGTTGAGGACAGCTGTTAAAGACGATAAACAGCGTTAACTTCTCCCAGCCAGTACCTTTTCCCCTCATTAAAGTCATCTGGAGGGGGAGGGGAAGGAAGAATTCAACTTCATAATTATAAATTATCAGTGTACATTTAAGTTTTTAAAACCTAAATGTTCCAAGTACAGAGTAAATAAGCTGTCCACAAAGCACACACTTAAATTCCTCCTCTTGGGAGTTGTATAAAGGGATTTTGAACCTTGATGGCGAGAATCCCAAAACAAGAGTAAAATGAATTCTTTTTATTGCAAACAAACGTCTAAATTAATTTCTCCACCCACTTTCTTTAGAAAGAAAAAGAAATCAGCAGGCTAAGGAGATACCCATTCAAGAACTGACATGATTAAAAATTAAGATATAAATGGGTGACTCACAATTTCATTAGCTTACAAAGATGGTGGAGTTAACTACTACAAGCACACTAGTTATACAGTATTTTGTGGGAGAAGGGCATACAGACATAGCTAACTTCATATAGATCCCATTAGACAACTGGATTTACAACAAGTTTTTTTAATAAGAAATGGGCAAAGCCAGCTTTCTTTTCAGAATCAAAATGCAGAACAAATGGAAAAAGTATGGTATTTAACCTTCACAAGTTTGAGCCTCCACAAATAATGCAACCAAGTTTTACATTTTTAACAGCCCTTCTACATACACTCCATCTTCTCTATCTTGGTTCCAAGTTCTTTAAATCTTCTTTCCCAATAATGCCAATTCCATTGTCATTTAAAAGACAAAGCCTTCCCAGTCATTGTCAGAAACTACTGTTTATTTTACCCCCTCCACTACCCAGCACACTACAGAGAGGATGGAGTGTAATATGAGCAGTACAGAGTCTTAGGCAATTCATGAGGACTACTTAGTCCTTACATGAATCTGGTTGCTAACATTACTATTATATTGTGACATTGACTCCCGACTGTTATTCTCTGTGAGAAATGGGGGGGAGTAAATTCTTAATAAAAGACACCAGGTACAAAGCAACATTTTACTTTTGTTGTGATAAAAAAAAAAAGTCACATTTTACAGATAAAATGTAGAACCCTGAAATACTGACACATTCTCTTATCGTGCACAATGCTGAGGTTCTCTTACGATTCACTTTAAAACTGCAATTAAAAATGTACAAAAAAGAAAAGAAAAAAAATCAACCCACAAAGCTTCTAAAAAAGGAACCCGCAGGCACTTCCTCTTGTGGAATGTTTAAAAAGTTAGCCTACTAAAGAAAACAGTCGACTTCTTGTGAAGGTTTTGGAGAAATATGTATCAGTTCGTTTTATTTGGGTATTCAATAATATCCTTGGTGATAATGCTGACTCCATGGCTTCTGACCCCAGAATTGCTGTAAGAGAAAATTTTTTTTTTTAAAGAAAAAACATCAATAAGCCACTCAAACTGCTTTTAGGAAACGACAATCTAATTCAGAGTAATTGCTGGAAACAAATTTATACCTGTCATACCTGATTTCTACCAAACCAGATTTAGTTTTAATATCCCATTATTACCAATACACATTACAAAAGAAAACATGTTATGATTTGGTTAGTTTATACAATTAAAGCTCGAGGTAAAAAGAACCACACATATGAAGTATTACTTTAAATTTAAAAAAAACTAAGTTATAACAAACTCCAACCTATTTTGTCTTCAAAGGTAAGAATATGGCTACCATTATAACAAAATTAATTCACAATTTGCCCTATAAATGCTTAGGAACATTTCAAAATCCCCAGACAAGACATTTCAAGACTGGTTCTTACAAATCAAAATATATTTAATGCACTAAGAAATTTACTTACACCCTGCTGCCACTGGTTGTAGCCCTGAGATTGATTTTTGTAGCCACGATTGTTTCCTCGTCCTCTGAAGTTCTGCAAAAAGGAAAAATTCTTTAAGAGCTCTGAGGCCAAGTCCATTAGCTTTTTTAGTTTTGTGGGAATTGGGGACAGAAATGGACAGGTTGCTAGCTACTAATCTTTGGAGAAAGCAGAAATTCTAGCTACCCTCTGCTGCTTTTTCAAGTGTTTTAATTTTATATTTACTCAGAGATATATACTTTATTTTTAGAACAAAAATCAAAATAAAATAAATGGACTCATTCCATTACACAGTTTAAGACTACAACTTTCCAGACTTCAAGTTACAGTTCTGAGTGCCTGCAGAGATTTTAAATCATTACCTGGTTGTAGTTCCCTCTATTGGGCATTCCACCTCTATTGTAGTTCCCTCTGTTTGAATAACCACCACGGCTGGGAAAAACAGGGCCGCGAGGGTATGGATAGCCAATTCCACCACTTCCGCCACCGCCACCTCCTCTCTGTGGCATATTGCCCCTCCGATTATATCCTCCACGATTCCCAGGAGCTAAAAAAAGAGATCATTTAATTTTGCTATGTATTATTTTCACTGAAACAAGAGACTTAGGGTCCTGGACCATTTCATTATTTTTGAAGAAACTTATTTAAAGACAAAAGCAATTGTTTAATTATTCATATATAACCTGTGTGTTTAAGACCAAATCACATAAAGATTTTTAATTCGTTACTATGCAGCATAGGATCAAAGAGAAGCAAACTTCACTATTTTAAATTTAGCTATATAATCTACAGCTCCAAGCTTTAAGATTATCAGTTATTTCTATTTTGAACTAAACAGATCACTCAAAATTACTTGCCTCCCCCTCTGAAGTTTCCACCACGCATATTGAATCCTCCACGTCCTCTATGGCCACCACCCCGATTAAACTGGTTCTTGCCACTCTTATTTTTATTACTCTTCTTTGAGCCAGTGTTCTGTTTCTTTTCTGGTGGGAGAGCCTTTTTGCTTTCTTCTTTATATTGCTCCAAAAGTTTCTGGGCTTCCTCCTTCTGAAGTTCAACATAGGTTATTTCATCAAAGCACTCAGCTACCTCTGGCAGAGTAAAGTTTCCTGAAGGGAACAAAGTCAAGTTATTACCTTAGAAATCCACAGTAAGTATCTGCAATCCCACCCAAAGCTTACAAGTTTTAGAATGCCTTTAATTCTTTCAATGGTTATGAATGTAACCTACAATTTAGTAACAATATTTTCCTAAGATAAATAAGCCAAACACATTCAAATTTACTAAGGTTTCCTGACACAGTACTACTAGCAAATATGTTAATTTTTTGGATCTAAATCACATATAAAGATTTAATACAGTAACAGAATAACTAGTCCATGCCTTTCATTTTGAGGACTGCATGTTCTGGTAGATCTTTCCCCTCAACTTCTGCTTTCTTCTGTGTTCTTTGCTTGTAGTCTTCATCTTTTGGGCAAACTACAACAGCTTTTCGTTGGAAGCCTGCAAACAGGCACATTTTTCTCCTCTGGGCAGCAGCAGACACATTTGTCTTTAAAAAACAAACAAAAAAATTAAGCTGGTAACTCAAAACAATTCTATACAAAACTAATGAACACTTTTTCCATCTCCAAAGCTTATATCTCACCTGATCCAGAATGAAATTTCGCTTCTTACGGGCAGCGATCTCAATAAACTTCCCAAGACATTGTGGAGCTCTTTGCAATAGTGTATTCAGTTTTCCAGTATCTGCCATTTGCTTCTTAAAACCTGCCACCTATTTTTAAAAGTTCAAGTCACTTGGGAGCCTTGCTCTTGGCGTAGTGGTTAAGAGCACTAGACTCCCACATGGCCGACCATGGTTTAAGTTCTGGACCTGGCGGCCTGCTTCCTCACTCCCCCCTGCAGTCCCCCCACATCTGTCTCTGGTCAAATTTAAATAAATAATAAATCTTTTTTTCAAAAAAATAGTTAAAGTCACTTTATCGTTTAACAAGACCCTATGCTATTTAATTCTTTTTAGAGTCTGGATGTTGAGAGGAAATTAATTTAACCTTAACAAAGAACTTATATAATCAATTAAATTTTGTCTAAATTCCTATCCATAAGATATAAACAAAACTGATAAGGACAGTAGGCTAAAGGATTACCTAGAAACCTATTTTAAATGCTGAGAGACTCTTACTGTTTTACTCACCATCATTTTATCCATAATGGTATTCGTTCCAAGAATGTTGTATTTACCAGGATTTTCTGCTGCATGTTTGGTAACCCAGGTGGTTTTTCCAGCTCCTGGCAAGCCAATCATCATCACAACCTACAATGGAAATAGATGTCACTTCACTAGCTAATGATTAAAAACCACCTGAAAACTCTTTTAAATACTGTCTTTCAAAGCCAAACAAAAAACTGGCTTAAATACCTGAATTTTCATCTAATACTAGGGGTATTTGTGTTGTAGAAAGCTTAACAAGTCATACAACAGGAAAAAATGGGAAAAATCACTGGTTGTGAGCAATAGGTACATCTAAAAGCAAATAAATCAAACTGATCACCTAGGCTCTTCTAAAACAACATGTCTGCCTAGCAAAAGTAATTATACACACACCACAGTTTAACAACAAAACCACTTACTTCACAATCTTTCTTCTCTTCAGGTCCCTTTGGGCCTCTAACTCGATCCTCTAAGGGGACACTCTGGATAAAAGTATATTCTTCAGGTATTGGAAAATATGGCTTTTCCTTCTGACCAAAATTAAACTCAACCGCACAGTTGTGGCAGAGAACATGCGGGAAAAGTGGCCGTCCAGCAAGAACCTCCTTACTGATTTTGAAGGCAATGCCAAGATCTTGTCCATTCTTGGCATAGGAGAGTTCTACTTCATCGCTTTCAAAATTCTGTCAAGTAAGAAAAAAGTTTATGTCCCATGAGAGCTTTTAATAAAATTCTAATCAGAAGTGAGACTTACTCCATGGAACGCAAGGTTTAAGCTAGTAAATGGACTATAAATATTCAGGTCAACTTTGTATTTAGTAGTTTTTAGTCCTACCAAGTTAGTGATTTTCTCCTAGGGATGCCTTAGGTTCTCCCAATTCAACTACCAAATTAAATTAAGTCTTTAATTCAGGGCTGGGCAAGTCTTTAGTCTAACCTAGATTCAGTGTGCTCATAGTGATCATACTGAAAGACACTGAGACAGCTAGTAACATGGAATGTTTACATAAAGATTTTGCTGTAACTTACAGCAAAACAAGTAATCACGTCATTTTCATCAAATTTCTCTCCATAATCTTCAGTCTCACAGTTACATGTTTTTATTCCTTTTAGAGAATATCCGTAAGAAAATTCTTCTTCACCTAAAGAGACAATTTTCATGAAGTCAATTTTCCAACAGTCCAAAGAACCAACTATTTTATTTTTGCTATTTAAGTAGTTCGCAAATGGGGCCAAGCAAGTGGTATAGTGGTTAAGGCACTGGATTCCCACATGAATTGCAGTTCAAATACTGGACTTAAAGGCTCAAAAATCAGAGTTTGTGTGCATGTCCAAAATCACAAGAGAATGGAGAAAAGGGACTGTGGTATGGCCATCCCCGTGGGGGATAGAAACTTCTCACTTTTCCTCCCTCTGCAGGGAGCACACAACCTCTAGCAAAAACCTAAAAAAAGTTACTTACAGGAAAAACTGAGTACATTTAAATATTTAATAATATTTCACTGACATTCTAACTTATCTACAACTGTACCAGATATGAACTGTACCAGATAATGAAAGCTAAGCAGAACACAGAGACATAAAACTAACTAACAAATTGCATGCCATGGAGATTCTATTTTAAAATATAAATGATATGGGGCCATCACATGGTGGTTTATGAGTATGGGATTCCCACATGGCTGACTGCAGTTCAAGTCCTGGACCTGGTAGCTTGCTTTCTCACTCTCTCTGGTCAAATTTAAAATAAAGTTGGGACCAGCAGTTAGTGTAATGGCTATGTAGTGGACTCCATGTATTTGACCATGGTTCGCGTCCCGGACCCAGTGGCTTAAATCTCATGCCAGGCGCATGTGCGTGCATGCCCAAGATCCCAAGAGGAGAATGGAGGAGAAGGGATTGCGGCGTGGTCATCCCCACTGGGGGTGATTTCTCACTTTCTGGCTCTGTCTTTCTGGCAAGTGCACGTGCCCTATAGCAAAAAATCCTCTCAAAATAAATAAATAAATAAATTAAATTAAATGACTTAAAAAAAAATCTGGTCATGAATAAAATTAAATTTAGCATATGCTACTATACACAATTATAATTCATCTCTAGTATTAACAGAATTGACAAAAACAGACAAAAGATTTAGAATGCCTTCTAGTCTGATTAAAATGCTGAAAGCATACCCCAACAGCTATAAGCCCACAGCACTCAAATGAAAACTTTACCAAGCAACATTCCACTTGTGGTTAGTGACCAGCCAATTCGAACTTCATGTATGTCAATATCTTTTGTATATAAATGCCTCACTGGGATCTTCTCTGTAACCTAAAAACCAAGTCATTCAAATAATTAATATGTATAACCAAGGAAGGTACACTCTTGAGCTCTGGTTTATCTGGGTTATGGATAATCATTCTCTAGCTATTCATACAAAAACACCTAACTACCAAATTTCCCACTCTATCACCAGCATTTATAAGAACTTCAACATTAAGAGATTAAAACTTAAAAATTGAAAAGGTTTGACTTAAAATACACAGGTTTATTCACATAAGAAAAACCCAGTTAATATTTTTAAATTACATACTCTTAACTCTCAAACTCAAGTAAAGTGTACTTTTTAGCATGTTTTTCTCTCATGTGTTGAATTTTGTGAACTCCTCAGCAGCCCTTTCAAATATCTGATTAAATAAAGGAGTACCCTAAATATAAAACGAGGGGGACCTACATGGCAGGTTGTGATATAACAAAATTTATTTAACTGCCACTAAATAAAAATTTCCAAGCCTGTAATTCCCAGAAATCTTCTAATGTTCCTTTGCCACTTAATAATGTCCGGCAAATGGAAATTTTCAAAGGATCTCTTTAAGGAGCTACAAAATTGCATTTACCTTCATCTCAAAACAGACTTTGCCTTTTGAAACACCATAAGATGCTCTTCCTCCAGCCCAAAGAAAAGCAAAACTCTCCATAGTAAGGGAAGAAGCACTGAGGCGGTCTCTTGATATTTTAAAATGTAGATCACAATTATCTGTAATTATATCAAATATTGTATTATTCTTTTGACATCCAATGCAAATATATCTGCTATGTAGGTAAAATTTGGTTATTAAAAGTTTGCATCAATTAATTCTTCAAAAACATTTTTAGGTATCATGCTGCTGTTCCTATTTTCAGTTTAAGCCCCACCCCCACCAGTCAAAATTGTCAAATTATGTACTGAAGAATACTGCCTAAAAGACTAATACCCAGGTTTAACGTGTACATTTTAAGTATGCAAAATGATCAAGACAGTGTGATATTAATACATACCTGCTCTGCTCTTTACCTTGATTTAGAGGCAAGCAGTAGAGGATAGCAGGAAATCAAAGTGAAGCATGCCAGAACCAGGTAGAAATTACCAGTGCCACAATAAACTGAAGGAAGGCCACCACCAAATATTTTAAAATAGGACTATGAGCTGTTGATCCTGCACTTTGTAACTTAGTACCAGGGCTCTAAGTCCTAAACTCTTTTTCTAAGGTGTAAAAAAGGTAGCCTCAATCTACAAAGCACAAATCTGGTGGTCTAAAACTAGTATTACAGCATTTTACATCTCCTTTTGGCTGTTCGTGAGGATTAGGGATTAACCATATCCTGGATTGAAGGATCTTTAACCTAGCTACTTTTGGGTCCCTGGCTCATTAGCATGCACCTTCACACTTCAAGCTAAAAAACTTTTTCATTGGTAGTTTAAAATTTTCTTACCATACCTTTGCTCCTAAAATTCCCACCAACAGAATTTCCAATTTAACAAATCCTGTCTGAACCCAATAAGGAACTTAATGGCTATTACTGATGGACAAAGAAACCTCTTAACGGGGGCATTATCTTGAATCACTGCTTCAATATGTTGCCAATTTCTAGCAAAATTTTTATTTATGCAATTGAATTTAACATAAAACTTTCAAGCCAACTACCAGTATACTTTTCCAAAAAACTCAACTACCTCAACTACCTGTAAAGGATATCGGATATGTAACACTTTTACATTTGAATTCTTACAAATCTGAAAACAACTTATACATGAAGACCTAAGCTCCAACTCATTATATCACCTTACTTCTAACACAGAAGGCCGACCCTACCTTGTTTAAGCATTTACTTCTACTTTCTTAACTCACTCTCTTAAGAGCTGTGCATTCTGATCAAATATTAAACAAATTCTTTTTTTTTAATAGTAGAAAAAAATACAAGTTGACAGCCAAGGCCCTTGTACTGGTTTGCAATACTTCCTCATACTCAATTGCAACCCAACTGGGTAAAGTAGTAGTATTTACAGCGCTGCCATTGATACCATTCGCTGCTGAAGAAAGCTACTGGCCCAGTGATAGCCCACTGCTGCTGCCCCAGGTCTTTGGAAGAAATCAACTTATGTTAAAGCAGCAGCTACTGAACTGGAATTGAGAACAGAAGAGCAGTTATTGAAAAAGTAATATTACAATCTTTTAGAATAGGGAACATACTTGAGTGCTAATGGTAAAAGTCATTAGCAAATAGTTAACTAGCCCAAATAGCTCGCTTAATAGAACTCCACAAAAAAATTAAATTACTGTATTGTTGATGTCTATAAGGACAAGTTATACACAGGTTTACAAATTTCTGTTAGCTAACTAGTCAAAAGTTGGCATTAATTTACATTCCTAAGGAGTTTTCAACTCATACAAATATTACCAAATTGCTACAACCTGTAAGATTTCATTATGACTGCAGCTGTACTAAATGTTAAACTAGAATCCAAACGAAGGCCATTATCCATTATTTAACATCTAACTCAAGTTTTCTGCACTAAGTTCAAGGTACTGCACTGCATTAAGTTTCCTAATAAAATGAAACCAAAAAAAATACCATCGCATCTGATAACGGGGAAGAGGGGGAACAGCTTCACTTACAAGTATCAAGACAAACCACTGTGTCATCGAAGTGTTCATCCTCTTCTTCGACAGGTGGCTGAGGAGATTTAGCCCTGCAAGACAGAATTGTCTCCTGATACAACTTTTCCCACCCACTAATAAAAAACTGGGTGACAAGAACTAGATTAACATCCGCTACCTGCTATATTTGTTCTCTTCGATATACTCAAAATATCCACGGCCATGATCTTCCCGGGGTCGTTTAACACCTCTTTTTTTATCTCCGCCTTTCTGTTCTGTTTTTCCGTCTCCTACAACACACAACACCCTTTAAGAGACCAAGTCGCAAAACAACCAAAAACCTTTTTCTGTTTTAAGTCAAAGCACTTCGAATTCACCCTGTTAATTATTAATTGACAAGTCAAATTGGATTTCAAAGGACAATCAGTTGAGAATTGGATTAAAGTCAGTGACGCAGTCTAAAGACGTTACTAATTTTACAGTCTACTGGATGATTCCAGAAAGCTAAAGAAAAATCGCGCGGCCTGGGCCCAGGGCCCACGTGTATCCGACGAGAGTTCAGGAAGGGGGGAGGGGCCAGCGCAGCCCGCGCGGCCTCCCTTCCCCTCCCCCACCCGGGCCCGCGCTCCCCGAGCCCGCATTGTACTGATCTTCCGCCCCCCGCCCCGCCCGCCGGAGGGGCGGTCACGCCGAGCCCCTGCGCTCTTTGCACAATACAGCGGCCGAGAGCCGACCGAGCGCGCCGCCCCGGGACCTCGGGCCTCACCCCTCCCCCCAAGACATGTGCCCGCACCGCGCACGCAGCACGGCGGCGCCACCGCGGGTCGACGGGACTCCCTCCCGCCTGCCGCGACTCCTCCCCCTCCCGCGGCCGGCGCCGCGC